TGTTATCACTTTCAGTGTAAATTCCTTCAATTTCAATAATATTTGAATGTTTTAACTTGTTTGTAATTNTCAATTCCTTTTCTAAACCTTCAATTGATTTCTTATCTTTTAAATTATATTGTTTAATTATATGTTTTTTATCATTTAAATCAATTCCAATAAAAACATTATGATTTCCATTCCAATTTTGAATTGGTTTAATTTCTTTAAACATTTCAGGTGTCATTTCATTAATATTTAAATTAGATAATAAATCACTTGCCATGTTTGATTTAATATCAAATCCAATTGTCGTTAATTGAAGAAATTTCATTTTAATTTCATTTAATTTTTGAATATTTTCCTTCAAATTAGATTTTAATTCAATTAAATTAAATTCTTTAATTTGAATTTCATCTTTAATATCATTCATTTCATCTTCATTATTAACATGTTTCAATTCATCTTTTAATCCTTCAATATCTAGATTTAACATATTTAAATTTCTTGTAATTCTTGTTTTTTGTCTTTGAATGGTTTTAAATTGTTCAGATAAATTTGAATAATTATTCATAATATTTATAATATTTTGTAACATTTCATATTTTTCAATTATATATGGAATTGTTTCTTGAATTAATAATTTACAATTTAATTCTTGTTTTTGATAATAATTATATAATTCTAAAATATTCATTTGATCATTGTCTGAAATTAATACTTTACAATTTGATAATATATTATTTAAATATAATTCTTCTTGTTCTGATAATTCCATTGCTTTTTGTAAATTATTTGAAAATTGTGTCAAATCAATTTCATTACAATAATTGATAGAGTTTACAATATTTGATAATTGTTTTGTAACTTGTTGTAATATTGTTTTAGTTTCATTTCCAAATTTATTATGAGTTGGAACTATATTAATACTGTTTATATTCTTAATAGATTGTTCACTCATTTCAATACTGTCAAATAATTCTTGTTTAATAAATTGAGAATTAAATTCATTAAATAATTCTAATTTTTCACTTAATACTTCTAAATAAGATTGTAATTTAAATAAATATTTTTGATTATTAATAAATTCCAATATAGTTCTAATATTATTCATTAAATTATTAATAGTTAATAAATGTTCATTATTTTCAATATTATAATTATTACTTGTTAATCTTTCAATTAAATTACAACAATTATTTAAATTATTACAAATTGTTAAATATTCATCTTGAAATTCTTTCTTAATTTGAATAGAAGAAGAAAATGATTGAATCGATTCAAATTGTTTTTCAACTTTTCTTCTATTATTATCAACTTGTTGGTTGAGTGAACATAATTTTGAAAATGTTTCAGATGTGATTATGAATGATTGTTTTTTCTCTAATTCTTTTCTTTCTCTTTCTATTTTTAGTAAACATTCTTTTTCAATTCTTTCCTTTTCAATTCTTTCCATTTCTAATTTTTTAATTCTTTCTCTTTCTAATCTTTCCATTTCTAGTTGGTTAAATTTTAATTGTTCCGATTGTTCTTTTAATAGTTGTTGTTCTTTTTCCATGTCACTTTTAATTGTTTGAATATTAATTCCATTCACTGACCATGTGTAATTTATGTTAATATTTGGATGTTGAAGTAATTGTTTAACAATTTCTAAATGCCCATTTTGGCAAGCAGTGTATAATGGTGGCTAATATATAAAAATAAAAATTAAATTAAATATTAAATACTTACAAACTAATATTATAAATATAAAAATTAAATTAAATATTAAAATACTTACTTTCTAATATTATAAATAAAATTAAATTAAATATTAAAATACTTACACGCTAATATTATAAATATAAATATAAATTAAATATTAAAATACTTACACCCAAATTAACATCAATTGTTTTACATGATAATAATAATTTAACAATTTCTAAATAACCATTTTGGCAAGCAGTGTATAATGGTGTCTAATATTATAAATATAAAATTAAATTAAATATTAAAATACTTACATCCTAATATTATAAATAATATTAAATTAAATATTAAAATACTTACAAACTAATATTATAAATATAAAATTAAATTAAATATTAAAATACTTACATCCTAATATTATAAATATAAACTAAAATTAAATATTAAAATACTTACAACCTAATATTATAAATAATATTAAATTAAATATTAAATTACTTACATCCTAATATTATAAATAATATTAAATTAAATATTAAAATACTTACAAACTAATATTATAAATATAAAATTAAATTAAATATTAAAATACTTACAACCTAATATTATAAATAATATTAAATTAAATATTAAAATACTTACATCCTAATATTATAAATAATATTAAATTAAATATTAAAATACTTACAAACTAATATTATAAATATAAATTAAATATTAAAATACTTACACCCAAATTAACATCAATTGTTTTACATGATAATAATAATTTAACAATTTCTAAATGTCCTTTTTGGCAAGCAATAATTAACATGGTACAACCTTCTGATTTATTATTAACATCTTGTTCATTAAAATAATTATTAAATTCATCAATTTTGCCGTCTCTCGCAGCATCAAGCGCCTTCTGAAAATCTCGTGTGGCCATTTTTTTAAATTTGTTTTTGTCTACACGTCAAAGGAGAAATGACGAGTGACTTGACTGAACAATAAATTTGACAGCTCGATCAATGTCAACAATGAAGATCTGTTGGTGATAGAACGAACATAAGACCACTCCACACTGCTAAAACCCACGAGGGCAATCATTCAGCATGATTAAACAGGAAGATTGGCAACTTCAACAATTGTTGCCATCATTTACTCACAAAAATCTAATAAAAGCGTGAATTCTTCTCCTTCAATCGCAACAACAATACCACAATATTTAAAAACTCGTGCAATATTCATCAATTTCATTCAATTAAATATTTATATAGTATCGAATCCTTGCGAGAGAAGACCTTTCTACTACTATTGAATCTTACAACAATCTGATTCAACACTTTAAAACCTTGCTTAAATAAACATAATTTTTTAATAAGATTAAATGGTGATGGGATTATTTTACACAGTTATTGTGAAGAATTATTTTAGGAGAGTTGTCTCTGTGAAAAGAGATAAAGGTAGAGTAAATTATTGTAAATGATGTCAGACGTAACAAGACGAATAAGTGGTGGTGGTGGTGAACAAGTAAGGATTCTCTCATTGTAAATTACAACATGTTCATATCTTTCATATAATCTACGATAATACTGTTTTTGACATCATCCAAAACTTTTTTCATTGTACCTGTATCTGTGGCACAAGTTATGTGATGATAAAGTTGACGTCCTGTCTTTGAACTTTGAGATTTGGCAGCTCCAGCTCGAGAAATGAATTGATCCATAATGTAAGTTCTGGCCTTACCAACATCTCGTCCACCTGTATATTCAGGGAAACACTTGTCCAAATCCTTAACTTTGATTTTCTCTTCAAACAAGTCATTCTTATTGAAGAAAATAATAAGTGGAGTTGTTTTAAAGTAACGAGATTGACAAATTTCAGTAAAAAGAGTCAATGATTCAATCATACGATTCATATCCTTATCTTCAAATAAAACTTGATCGTATTCACTCAATGCAGCAACGAAAATAATTGCTGTAACATCATCAAAACAGTGAATCCTTTTTAAAATAACATCAATTGACATTAATTAACAATGATGATGAATGGTAAATAAACAGTTTTCACACAAGTGACAATAACCATCAATAACAATATAGATCAAAGATTTAGCCAAATAGTATGTTAATTAACAAGACACAATAACAAAAACTAACCATTTTCTTCTTTCGTTTCTTTGACCACCAACGTCAATCATCTTGAATTTGTATCCTTCAATACTAAAATCTGCTTCTACGATACCAACTGTCTTGACTCTTGAACGGAGAACATCTTGTTGGGTTGGTTGATAATTGTTACTTGTCAATCTTTCAATATCTCTCAAATAACTATTACAAAATAACATAAAAACATTATATTCGAAACACATTCGAAACCAATAGAAACTTACTATTCAGCAGAATCATTCAATTGATATTCACTTCTTCTCCTATAAGCTTCTTGAATACCAGCATCAGACCACAGTAATTTAATATCCTTTCCGAGTTCAGGTGAAATTATACTTCCAGCATTGAGAATAATTTGTTGTTCTGGAATTCTGGTAAACTTTTCTGCACGTTCGATATTTGATGAATTTGAAAATGAAATTTGTGGATTCAGAGTTTGCATTGCTTCGATCAAAACTCTGATGGATTGTAAAGTATTTCCATAGATAACATCTTTGAAACGTATACATTCTTCTGGTGTGTAGCCTTTGTGGTGAATAATTTTCATTTGTTTAAAGATGGTGGATTTCCCTGATTCACCTATTGTTGTTGATATTTAGATTAGTTTCGTCATGTTTAGTTTTGTTGTTGTTGTTGTTGATATTTAGATATTATACGATAAATAATCATTGGTATTATTCAATTATTGGTATTGTTATTCACAATCGTTCACAAAAAGTATGGACGAAACACTTAAGAATATATCACACGAAACTAAACTAAACTTACCAGCTCCTAGTAACAAAAGTTTCAACTCTGACTTTTGTTTTTGATTATCCCTAGTCAATTTAGCATTAATTTCCTTGTTTTTGGTGGATTCTGCTGATTGTTCTTTAAAGCAAGGCATCGTTTGATGTGTTAAAAATTTTAGTCTAGATTCGAATAGTAATAAATTGTTGTTGTAGTAATATTTGATGAGAGATAAAATATTCTTGTTGTTGAGACTGTTGTGGACGTTTTGATTTTTTTTTCTTTCTGCTTGTTCACAAGTCACCTGACAGCTGTCAAGGCGAGAAAATTAAACGGGAAAGAGGCAAACAGTCTATCGGCATTCCTGCTGAAAAATATTGCCAATAATTACCCAGCATGAGATTTACTTTGGAATAATTGTAACGAATTTTTGAATATCTCTCATCTTCTCAGTTGACTAATTTAAATATATTTAAAAAATATTTAATATTTAAAAATTGGCAAATTGATGATGGTTGGTAATCAAGTGGCAACAAGAGTAAAGGTTGAAAGGTTTCAACAACTATTCTAATTGATAATACTAAACTGAAAATCATTTCCTTATTCAAAACCTTCCGCATAGTTTCCATAAATGGGACTTGTTACAATGAGCAAAGAATTATTCCAATAACTGCATTATTCAAGATTCAAAGATGAAGCTGAAATGTTGAATGTTCTTGTCATTTCCCGCCAAATTACTACAATTCAAAATGAAAAAAAGCAAACAACAACAAGGCTTTGAGTGTTTGATGGTTTGTTGTCATTAGCCCTTGAGATTTAGATATTGAGACGAAAATCCGCAAAGAAAATAATTATCTAGTTAATTAATTAGTAAAATTGAAAAATTACAAAAATGTGTGTTTTATATTGGAAGAAGTATTTGTTCAGTGAAATTTAGAAAATTCTGAATTGTAAATTGGTGCTATTAGTCTTTTTGTTGTTGTTATTATTATTATTGTTATTGTTATTGTTGTTTGGCAATGGTACGAATTTCATAACAATAGCAAAGATGCAACCACCCAAGATGGCCAAAGCAACTAACAAACACAAAACAGCACAACACTTATCAGTTTGAATTCTCCTCATGAAACTGGTAATTTCCTTTTGAGCTCTTTTCACATTGCTTCCGAGAGCATCCATTTCTTCATCAATTCTCCTCAATTGGTCTCTTTGTTGTCTCAGTAAATCAGCAGAATCAGTTGCCAAAGCAATAGTTTCCTCTGATTTCTTATTCAAACGATCGATAATGTCCAAACATTCCTTCTGAGTTGAAAATACTTCAGAAAATAATTCCTTTTCAATTTCATCGTGCCTTTGACGTTGTTCCTGTGTCAGATTGGCATTTCCCTTGTACATATTTGTCACATCAGCATCACTGTTTCTCTTAACTTCCACAACATCATCTTCTTCAATGGCATTGGATGAATTCTTTCCTTCATTCAATTTGTTTGCAAATGTAAAGAAACCTTCCTTTTTACGAACACCACCACTATTTGTTGCTGATGATGATGAATTTGATGTTAAATTGGAATTTGTTGATTCTAAAGCAGAGTTATTTGATGATTTACCATCATTCAACCCCTTTGCTTTAGTTTCAATAAATGTTTTTGATTGTTTGTAACTTGCTCTCAACTTGGCAATAATTTCCTTGTGTTTCTTCTTGGTATCGGATACTTGATTTTCAACGGATGGATCATTCTTTGTCAAGTTATTAATCTTGTTATATAATTTCCTACATTTTTCCAATAATTCTTCAATAGTTTCGGATAGTGTGGAAATTTGTGAGGAAATAAAATTTGGATCCGATTGATTGGTAATGTTTAGACGACGAAGAGTGGTGATGTTTTCTTCAATCTTTGACTCGACACTTTCCAACTCGTGTGTGTAGGTTGAAAGTTTTTCGAGACTGCTCATTTTTTGTTGATTTTTTTGACTGGGATGACAGATGACTTGAAGCCAAATTTCGAATTGATTTCGAATGAATTATTAGAATTTTAATTATTAAATAAATTATTCTCTACATGGAATTGAAACTTGAAAAATTCAGCTTTGTAAGAAGGATTGTTAATAATTCTTGTTTTAGTAAAATGAATGGCTACGGCCATATCACGATGAATGCACCTCATCCCGTCCGATTTGAGAAGTTAAGCATCGTCGAGCCACATCAGTACTGAGGTTGGAGACAACTTGGGAACCTGTGGTGCTGTAGTCTTTTTCATGCTTCATATCTTTGAATCTCTTTATCTCTTACAGAATGGATAAATTGCAGCATTTCTAACGGTGCCAATTAAGGCACTGAAAAAGAGCAAAAATAAAAAAACGAAAAAAAAAGCAAACAATAAGTTGAAGCGATATTAAGCTGCAACAATAGCGGAGGGAATTTCTTACTGCTTATTATTGTAGGCTATTTTGTTATGGATGGTTTTCCGTTCATGTTTTGAATCATGAAGAAGAATATTTTGTAATAGGTTTTTAAGTGGAACAAGAACAATAATAATGGAGAGACTCGGATGAAGGTTAATGCTGGAGACTCGGATCCAATTCTCTCATCATCGATGTTGATTGATTCCCTCCCTATTAATAATAACAATCAATCGTGTTGGGGTAGAGTAATTATTTCAAAATTGTAGAATTGTTGTTGTTCGGAGAAGGAGAGGGAACATTTGGGTGCAACAATTAAGGACAAGGGATTCTATTGGATTTGGTAAATTTGGAAATCCGAGAAGAGGAAATTTGTTCAGATTGGATTTAGAGAAGGGCATATATGGATTTTTCAGACAATTCAATTCTTCAATGTGTAAACAACATGGATGTGAGATATTTTCACATACTCGTATGTATATAAAGCTTACAACAGATTTGGAGTTAATACAAACACAAAAGAGATGGATAGGTGCCACCAAATTACATTTCATTGGGTGGAAGAAATGGAGTATTATTAATGAGCAACTCTATTAAGTGAATGAAAAACAATACATATGGAATTAGATTTTATTTGGGAATTGAGGAGACAGATAGGGAGGATTATTTTACCTGAACCTTTTTCAAGGGTTCACTTCTTTGGAATTGGGGGAAAAACTCATCACAATCTACAAGGGTCCAAGCAATTTCGGAACGTTTGGTTTTCCTATGAAAAATTATTCTTGCAGCTGTTTAATGATAGAATGACTTAGAAGACTATTTCAGATTTACAAAATGTGACAGATAGTCTCCAATATCAAAACTCCTTGCAAATTATGCACAGCAATAGCATAAAAATGAAATTAGCTTGATATTCTCGTTTCAAGATTGGTCTTCAACCATTATTCTAAAAGGTTTCTGCAAACGAATTTCAGAACTTTGTACTTCTCTCGAACAAACAACTGCAAATTCTGTGGACCAGAGAAAATGAGCAATCTTCGTGGAACAGTTTCGTAATTTTGTTGTGACCATGTCTGAAAGTGGAGTAGTGCAAAGATGTTAGACAAGATTTTGGATTGAACAGAGATTTGAAATGGAAGAGAGAAAAACTGAAACATGTTCGATTTATTAAGCAGTATTTTGAGTTCTTTGATTTGTTTTCTTGTGGAATAAAACTGTTCCGTAGTGTTGATTACCCATTACAATATTGCCATGATCCATTGGTATTTCATCTTTTCCAGTAAGTGTGGGCACAATACTAACCATGCTTGGTATTGTTCTGTGTTTATCACCCCAACCTTTCTTCAGCTTGGTACCTATGTAAAATAAGACAAATATTGCCACCAATATAATCACCAAAACAACCACAACAGAAATAACTGCTCCTATGATAATGGAGGCAAATTGAGCGTTTGCATCCACAACAGAACAATCAGATCCCAAAAATCCTGATAAACATTGACATACACCATCCAAACAAATTCCATTCAAACTGCAATGATTTGGACAGGTAACATTTGCACAGGAAGCTGGGTTGGATTCACATGCATCAGCAGCAACTGCATTAGCACTAGCCATTGCAAAGGAAGTGTCACCAGTTGAAATTACATCGAACAAACAAGTCTGATAGAAAGTTCCAGTTAAACCAAGATTTGTGCAAATCTTTTTAGCAAGTTCGTTCAAGGTTTGATTTTCGGATGTGGCAGAAATAGCTGGTTCAAAATCGACAATGTTAATTGAGTTGTACGTTTCATCTGCTGTATAAATGAAATAGGATTCGCTTTGTGGCACTCTCCAGCTCTCTCCAAATCGTTTATGAATATCTGTGGCAGATGGATCATTCAATACAAGACCATTCCTCAAAGTAAATTCATTGGATGCATTACCATCTAGTGTTCCATATAAACCTCCCTTTTCAGTTCCTGTAAAGTTAGTGTCCTTTGCAGGTGAGAAGGAGACACTAAGCCACTTGATTCCATCATTTTTCAATCTGAGCTGGCCTGAAAAGATTCCAGAAAACTTGATTAAAATTACTTTGAATGGAATGGAAGTGTCGTTCACCTTGTAAGAATTCACTGGATCCTTCTCTTCAACAATAGTAGCACCTCCATTCAATACATAGACTGGTTGTGAAGGTGGTTTGTAAGCGAGAGCAGTTTGTTGAATTTGTGGAATTTCATTAGTATCAGGATCTCTTTGATATTTGATTTGATCATAAAAGTTTTGTAAATCTTTTGGTATTTCAAGTGTTGCATTATTTTCCACTGCTTGAACATTAACAACAGTTTCCTTGAGGTCTACAACTTGTCCATTGACATATACTACCACATCATTCGTTCCATCTGAAGAAACTTCAACTGTATCAGTTCCACTTTGGAATGAAATAGCTTTCATGCAAGAGGTCTTGGAGTCCTTAGTACATTTAAGCAATCTTCCTTGCATGGTAAATTCAGTTAGATTTGTACAAGTAAAACTCTCCCAATGAATTGAAAGAGTACAACAGACCATCCACAGTTCTCAAGTGGATATCCCCAAAGGCAAGTACTCTGTTGAAAAGTTCAAACTCTTCAATCTTGTTGCACTTTGCTCCTGCAAAACCTGGGAAGCAACTGCAGATATTTGGGCCAACACAGGTTCCGTGCTCTGAACACCAGTCTTTATGAGCACAATGGAATTTAGAACAGTCATCGCCCATCCAGCCCCATCTACAAACACAATCATTCAATCCAACACATTTTCCTCTCTTTGCTCCTCCACAATTTGAATAATTTGCACACAGTGAGTTGTCAAAAGTAATACAATCCAACTCTGGTGGAACATATGTAGCATCTTGGACGAAGATTGTTGAATACGAGTCAACTTTCAAGTACACCATGTTTGATTTGCAATCATACGATGTTTCTCCATCAGTTCTATTGGATGGGGATAGAATATATTCCTTATTTGGGCTAACAATGTTAATAGAGATAGGGCCCCATGCACTGAACTTGAATCCCAAACTTATACCATATTTTCCTAACCAAGATATTTCAATCTTCTCTGGGGTACCAACAACTCCTAGCCATTCAACAGTATAACTGTTTGTGATATTATCCAAATATAGAGCTCTGTACTGCCATTCTCCTCCAGTTGTTAATTCTCCCAACAAATTTTCAGTTTGAAGATTTGATGTAGAGTTAATTCTTGTTTGATCGACAGAGTTTGTAATAGCTGGTGAGACAAACTCCAACTTGGACCAATTTACAGTCTCGTCACACATGTATGCATTCCATGCTGAAACGTAAAAGCACTTATCAAAATCTACCATAATATTGTTTGCTGGAATGACTCTAGAATTGACTCTATTGAATCCGGCAGGAACAGTAATGTTATAGGATAAGCAACCATCTAGATCGATAATAATAGAGTGTTTGTAATTATCGTGTAGACCATTACTCTTACCAACCAATAGATATATGACGTTAGAGTTGTGGAACTTTAAATTCTTGACGAGGTAATCGCCTTGAACCATTCTTGCCATCTTATCATTCTTAATACTAATAGCATTTGCTTTTCTGTTGCAATTATCAACAAAATTGAAAAACTCAATTCCGTCCAAAGTCATTGGTTTTCCGTCTCTGTGAAATTCTACACCAACAATTGGTTGGGTTCTGTAATTTGCATAGGATCTGTGATAGGTAGAATTTGGATTTTTGTAATTACCACAAGAATAACAACCATAAGCACAACTACCAGTATTTCCCTTATTTCCAGACTCTCCAATGAAAATGCAGTCTTTGGCTGTGAACTTGTCTTGGTTGATCACATTGAAAGTATAACCAATAGGATTATCTGCATAGATACTATCCTTCATGGCTATTTCTCCTTGCACATAGGCAAATTGTCCTTGTACCTTATTTCTATAAGAGACGAGTTTTGTAAATTCGGCTACGGCCCAAGGATTTTCGGCACTACCACACCTAATCTTTTGGAAGATTTCTAATCTAGGATCGGTACAAACAAAGAAATCGTGCCATAAATTGAGACCATGCTGTCTATTACTATGAACTGTGTTGTTGTAAAATTTTCCCCAATACCATCTGCTGGGTTGGATGTAAGGAGACATACTTGGACCTAAACTGTAAGGTTCTAATTGATACCAAATTCCATGACCTTCACTACCAGCAGCTCTATTGTTGATAAGAGTATTGTGAGGATTAGTCATCCAGAATGTTGCTGGGGAAGCATCATGATTGGTAGGACTTAGAATAGCTCTCGAGTCTGGGATGGCTTTTGTTACAAGTCCCAAACAATTCTCAATAATATTTCCCTCTTCAACTGCATCTTCCAAAAAGAAAGTATGTCCAAAAACATTGTAAGCAACAATACCCTCAGCGTGTAAGTTATTCACGCCGTGGAATGTAATTCCTCTCTGATAGGTGTCGTGGATTGATAACTTTTTAACATAGGAAGTTGAAGCATTGTTAAACAAGTGGAAGTGAACTGGATATCTGAAAAATGTGTAAATAAATTGAATTCAATTTTTGAATAACTTACCTTCCCAAAGTTCCTGCCTGACCACATCTCCTAAATTCTGCATTATTCAATCTGATGTACTTGGCTGTTCTCATGTAAATAGTGTGACATCCGAACAAGCTGTTATCACTACTTTCATCTCCTTGCACCTTAATGTTGTGTGTCAATAAGGCGACTTCAGCTCTCTGGTCAAACTCTACAACCGTACCATCTGCTTTTGTGTAGTATTCAGTTTCAGCGTAGTGACCATAAACAAGTGGTGAGTGCAATTCAAAAGCTGTTCCACTAATTCTTCTGGTGATAAATCTTCTCTCGGCCTGATACAAGTCATAATCTGTCGATGCAATCACAATCTCATCACCCACATCCCACAATGTCTCTTGAGCGAGGTAAATGATGTTATCTCCAACTTTTGATGATTGTTTCAATAAAGTCCAAGTTACCTCATGTCTCTTTCCATGCAAACTCAAGACGCCTCCACTCATCACAGCAATATTCTTGTTACCAACACCCTTATCACTCAATGGTGTCTTCTCTCCATACAGAGTGATTGTTGCTTTGTGTTGATATGGTGTTGACTCGTTACCGATTTGGAGAGAACCAGTAACAACCATACTGTTCATTTGTAATTGAAGATCAAGAGTTTCATTTCCGTAATCATTATTATCAAATATGAGACATCCATAAACCATGACTGTATCCAATTTAGGTGGGCTGACATCTAGAATAATTGTCTTGTCAGATGGAATTGTCACAAATGAAGCAGATGCAAGAGTTTTACAGGTTGTGTTCTTATAACTTGTTTTACATATTGGATTGTTTTCAACATAGTAGGTTGTTGAACAATTTTCAGACATTGAATCATTGGAACAATAAACGAAAGAGAAGGAACATGAAGGCATTGTAAAACTTGTAGTATTAAGCCCATTTAGCCCCATCTCACATAATGAACAATTTGTTCCACTATCTGTAAAATTGCAAATGTCAGTTAAATTCATAGCCACTCTTTCTGTACAATTTACCTCAGTGTCATTAAATGAATCACAAATGGTAAGGGAATAGCTACTTTCGCATTCGACAATTTGCTGAGTTGAAGGACATTTTACAGTTTCATTTGATACGGTGCTATAATTCGAATAGGTAGAGTTCACTAATTCTGGGAAATATTCTGACCATTTCACAGTCTCTGAAGGACAATTATCACCAATTCCAGTTCCATAAGGATCTGTTGTGGTTTTGGTAAAAATTATTGCTTGTTTTCCAACTCCATAAGCATTATATCCTTTAAATTTGTTATAGGGAAGAACTCTGAAACTGTATGTTACATTCTGATCCAAATTAAATCTAGTGTATGTTTCAGCTTGGTGAGTCTTGTACATTACAGTTACATATCCCAAAGAATTGAGAGTTGACATTTGTATTTGATAGTAACAAATAACATTTGTCGTATCATTTGATAATTTCCACCTCAGCTCAATACTAAAATAAGTTGGTATTGCCACAAAATTTTCAACAATTGAAATGTTGGCAGCTGTTGAAAATCTATTAGTAATATTTCCATCAGATGGATCTGACAAATCCGAGAGTAAATACCTCCTTGGAGCTCCCTGTCCAATCGACCAATAACAACAAGGGTCTCCTAGTTCATCACCATTTGTTAGACCATCTCCATCTGAGTCCATCAAGCAAAATGTTTCATCCCAAACATACTTATTCTTTGCAAAGTCCTTTGCAAACTTGGTCATTGTCCCATTCTTGAAGAAGATATTAGTAAAGAGTTGTGAGTCAGGATAGATTGCACCATTTGGTAGTTTTGTGATATCAAAATCTGCATATAAACTCGATAAGGGTTTTGAATACGTCGAAGGCAATTGGCTCACCAATAGAAGAATATATACAATGATAGAAGAACAATACAAAAACCATGATATCTTATCATATCGGCTTGTTCTTATTGAGGAGTAAGATGATGAATAGTCCGAGTAGGACCTCTGTTCTCTCCTCATCATATTTTGTTTTTCAATGATAGTTAGTATTATATATTTACTAGATAATTAACAAGTAACAATTTCTCGCGAGCAATAGTTTTCTCTTATTACCCAATGAACAAGATAATCCCTTCCTAGTACTTTTTTTTAATAATGTCTATTCATTAATAACCGGCAATTTACGGTTTTTTGATTCTTGTTGATGGTATCTCTTCTAATCATCTGATAAATAGTAATAGATGCAATTGATGAAATGAAAAAAATATTCATTGAGCGGGAAGATTGGTTTGAGGCTTTCTGATGAACAGCTTCGGGATGATAATATTTAATTTTTATCAGTTGAATTTGCTGTTCATTATTTATTAAGCAATATTGATGGAGGATATTTCGATTTTATCGTTCAGATGAGAAATTCCTTTAAGGGATTTTTGAAGAGTGGTATGATAATTGTGGAGAGCCTGAGCCAAGTTTTGACTCTTCTGATTGGTGAGAGTATCAAGAATAGTAAGCAAACGATTCGTAATAATTTGATCCTCTGGATACTTATTCAAATGATCTTGAAGAATATTGACCGATTCTTGGATTCGGTCCAGAACTTGAGAATCAGACATCGAAGAAACAGTCTTTGGATCAAAGATTGCAAAGGCAGCTTCAAAATCTTTGAACTTTTTGTTTGCTTTTTGCTGTTCCAGTTCATACATCCATTCTGATAGGTATCAATTTGTAATGAATTGAATTAGTGAAATTATTAATTACTAACAAACTTACCATCTTTTTCATAACTATTCTCCTTAATGACTTCATAGACAACTGTTGGAGTTTTGCCTTCGCTATTCTCCAAAACAAATCTTTCGACAGGTCTCACAACAAATGCAGAAGTGGCCTCAGTGCAAACACTCTCACTATCTGCAAGGATCTTACAACCAAGTGAACAACCTAGAATGGAGAGGTTCTTTGAATTGGTAACCATTGGACCGACGATTGAGTAATATCTCAAATTGTTTGTTCCCAAATTACCCACATTGGCCATTCCAGAGCTAATACCGATAGAATAACTTGATAATTTACCAAGGTTGTCCAAAACTTTGGAAACCTTGAGAGCACTTTCCATAGCTGCCAAGTTTTGTTTCTTCTTACAATCAGCAAATGAGAGTTGGAATTCTTCAACTGATAGGATTTGCAAATCAGCTTGCAAACTCTTTGCCAAAACACTCAATCCTGATGCTACCTTTGCAAATAAATTCGTTACTTCCAAAGGATTTAACTTTCCAAATTCATTCAAATGAATGTAGACGATACTGACTGGCTTGATGGAAAGACCCAATTTGAATAATCCACCACCAGATTTCAAGTCATGTTTGGAAGATTTCAGAGAGCTGTGGGCTGAGCTTCTATTAGAGAGTGAATGTCTGCTCTCTTTCATGCTTTCATTATTCTTATCCGTTTGTGATTGCTCCTGTTCAGCCTTCTCCATATTTCTCAACTGATTGAAAATTGTCTCTGGTAAGAAACTCTTAAATTCATTCAACCAATTCACCATTTCGTGTAAGTCTTCATAAATTCTATTGACTTCCCTAAATTTACTTGAAATAAAGTTGACATTCTCCAAATCAAACTTCTTAATGAGGAAGAATTGACTTTCCAAATATCTCAATGGTTGAGTTATTAAATATCCGATACCAATACTGAGAATCAAACCAACAATCACCACTGCTACTGCCACACCAACAGATATACCAGTGTTAATATTGGTAGTCTTGGCAATATCACTCTTGTAAACAACAAGGAAAACATTCCATCTGATATTTTCTAAAGAGAAGGATAATCTGGAAATTAGATAATCGACTCCCTTACTAGTGAATTCAAAATCTGAGGGAGAAGATGTCAGATTTGAGTACTTGGCAGCTATTCCTGACATGAGAGCTCCAGAATCTTTGGCAATTAGATCAAATATCTTGACACGAGACTTGCTGTCAGCTGCTGTGGTGTTAATCGAGCCTCCAATGACGAAGTCATTCGTTTCTGAAACGAGTACATAACCGTCTCCAATTAGAGTTAATGTTTTAAGGAACTTTTCAATATTCAACAATGACAAGTTGACCTTTGAAATACCAATTGTCTTTTTTGTTCCGTTCAATGCCAGCAAGTATGGATCATACAATTTTACAGAATAATAAATACAAGTTGTTGAATTGACAACAGTGTAAGGCAATCCATAAACCCTATCCGTTTGATACAAATCAAAAAAGTTGAAACTTGTAACCCAATATGCCAATGAAGTAATTACAAAAGGAGTTGTCTGATTGACCACCAAATTAATAAAAGATCCATCAGTTTCATTTGCATACCATTGTTCAACTCCAATATATCCCTTCGGTTTGACATAATAAGTGAACGATTGTTTTGGTTTTCCATCGGGAAAGATTGTCAAATTGAAATAGGTATTCACCTCATCTGGAAAGAACAACCCAACAGCTGATGGATAGAATATCTGATTCTTGGAAAATAAGTAACTCAAATCAGGTTTTCTTCCAATGAGTCCTCTATTGAAATCTTCAGCCAAAACTCGAGCCAAGTGAGCTGAAGGAGAAATTTCTCCCTTCAAGAAGGCCATTACATTCTCTCCAACTTTATGGATTAAATCAGTAGAAAGTGAGTCCAATGCTTGAGTGGAACCAATATACGAAGCTAACCAAATGAAGAAGGAACAGGTAATGAGGAGAATGATCATAATGATAATGATGGTCAATCGCATGGAGAACCAACCTTCCATTTTGGTTGGAATTTTTGGTTTGACCTTTTGTCCAGAGACGAGTTCTTCATTTTCATGATTGAGGCCAGCAGAAGAACCCTATTGTTGATTTCAGTTTCGAATAGTGCAATTTGTAGTGCATTTAGTCAGTTGCTTTGAAATGTATTGTTACTTACAGAAAACTCTGAAGGTGATGCAGGTGCAATTTTAGACATTTCTTTGATATTGAATCTCTAAGACATTAGAACTAAACTTCATCTGCCAAATTGTTAAGTGACAGCAATCACTAACCATCAATACAGAGATACTTCTCTTACATCATTCAAAATTGCCTTGAACAGTAGTGACAATTTTTGGCGCCAATTCGAATGGCCATTTTCGTTTTGCATCTCGAAATAATGTGAAGTGAAGTGATGGGAAATATTTACAACTAAGGTTCACCCGCGTCGATACAATCAATATTCGCCTTAGTATGGAGATGAATACATTTTGTTATTGAATTGGAGCTCTGGATAAATTGTTTTGTGGGTTACTATTAACATATTTTAATTATTTGTTATTCAATAGTTTCGCGCCAAGCTAAAACCGTTACATAAATGAAAATCTTTAGATAAAATATTTTGAAAATAAATAAATTTATTATTAAAAGAATAAAAAATAGCATCACAGGACGGACTTAGGCCTTCCTTCGTGAAAGAGGCAACTCCACGTATGTTTTTGATAACAACAAGACTTTAACATTTCCTTTAACACAACCAATATTCACAATTGGGGAATTTTTATTGTTTAAATTATAGACTACTTGATGATGGACTATTTACATGGAAGATATACACTAGGAAATTTAAGGAATGGTGGTGATTGTTGGCTGTCCTATTGATGTCGTATGAATATGATCAATTGGATCCTTGGTAAATGAGGATGATTTTCTCATCATGATTGCCAATATCAACATTCCAGCAATACCACTCAAACATACCAGAAAACTACCAATGGCAAAGACAATCTCTGCAGCTCCAACATTGTATGAAACTTGAGAGTTTGGTGAATTGGTAATGGTAATCAAACCAAATATCATCAAGCAAATGAAGGCTAAACAAGTGAGTGATGAAGTTACTCCAAAAGCAATCATCATTAATTTACTACGTTCTGCGTCGAGGGCCATTTTTTAATATTGGGTTTGAAGGATATTTCATTGAGGATGTAGTTGGATTTATCCAAAATTGCATTGTTGCAATTTGGAAAGTATCCATTTATTGATTCTTCTCATTTCTGTGGATGTCACGAAATCGTCATCTGGTAAATTTCCAATTTTGGTACATGATTTTCAAGTTATTGATCTTTCACATAGGCGACCCAATTGGTGTTGTAATCGTTCCAATTAGATTTGTTGTTATGTTTTCTTATTAATCTGCCATATGCTCTATCATACATGTCCCACAAAACTTCATGCTTTTTGGCATCCAACTTGTCATAATTCATAGATTTGATAAATTCCTCAAATTCAATCTTTCCCACACGGTAATATTTTGGTTTGAGTCCCAATTTGAATAGCAAGTATCTGGACAACTTCATTTCACCAATGGCAGTACACAACTTACAAGGCGACTTGATGACATTGGCCAAGTGAAATTTGAGCGACATATCCTGAATACCCTTCTTGGTTTCATCTGACATTCTCTGTTTGAAATATTCGTTAAACTTTTGATCGTCATCACAATAAGGTTTGATATGTTGTGCCATCTCTGTTGGTGATTTAAAATCATGAATGCTAATGAAACTATCTTTTGGAAAACCATACTCATTGATATTGGGAGCACCTCGATAGATTGACACTAGCTTTCCACCCAATCCCAAAGGAGTGAAACCTTCAAAGAACTTTTCAGTAATGTAATCATCCAACATGCTATTTTCAAATGCTAGATAGAATTTGCAACTTCTTGCCAATTCTGCAACCTTTCCTCCTTGTTCATGAGCATTTCTTCCACATCCTTTCCAAAACAGCAGAATATTAGCACTTGATTCAGGTATTTGAAAATCAAAGTCAACTTACCACCATATTGTCTAACTGGAAGGACATTGCTAATTTCCTTCACAACATCCATTCTCTCCTTGACACAATTACTGATGAATGCACAAATGCAATGTGGAGGAATTCTAGAACTATCTCTAAATTCAAAATCCATTTTCGTATAGAAATAGGTTGTCCAAATACTACACTGTGCACTCCAACACATTGTCATGTCCATGTGAGATTGGTCATTTCTGGCATGTGGTTCAATTTCTCTAAGAGCATTAGGTTCGTTACAGAGAAATACATTGATTGGTCGCATGGCCAACCAAGTTTTCAAAGCAAATTCCTTATCAAATTGTTGTGACAATTCAACACTTGACAAATCTGAATTTGATTTTACAAAATTGTCAATTTCCTCTTGGACTTTTCTTTCCTCCTCAACTTTTTCCAATCCAAGACCTCTATCTCTATATTCCAAATGTTCAATATTGGCATCGAGACTAATTCCTTCTGCCTTTCCACTTGTGAAATAACTTCTCGAGTCTTCATATGGAAAAACTTGACATGCAGTTTGTTTACAGTGAGCTTGATTGTACTTTCTAAAGAAACCAAACCAATTCGGTCTCGTAGTCTGCTCCTCACCGAAACCATATTGAATTAACTGGGTTTTTACACTTGGATCGAATTTGTAGCCACCTATGGATTGAGTATTGGTCAACTTGTCCAAATACCAACCATAGGTTCCTTCCTTTGACTGTTCATAGGACAACATGTTTTGTGCCAATCTAAAGAATGGAGAATGGCTCTCTAGTAGTGGATTCTCACTTAACTCTTCTAATTCAGTTATTTTCAATGAAGGTTGTTGTTCGAGTGAAACTTTCTCTGGATGAATCGAAGTCGAATCCACTCTACTCTTTCTACTCAATATGAATACGATGAAAACAACGTAGAAAGATGAAAAGATGAATAGAGAGGCTTTCCAAGGTGTAATTTTCATTTTTTTGTTTCGATAAGTGATAAGGTTAATGTTCCAACCTCCATGGAGGATTGTAAACAGTTGAAAATAGGGAATGTTATTCTGGATTTTTGACTTTTGTTCTATGGAGGATACATGGTCAGAAACAGACTCGTCTATTGAGAGTTTGGATTCCAAAGAGGTCTTGGAAAGTTTTGGTAAGTTCTTATTCGAGTTGAGTTCTGTCATTTGAACAAACAATCAAAATAAACTTTGTGCGAAACAATTCAACAAAAAATCAAGATGAGTGATTCTAATCCTTCACACTTTAAGTTTTGGGGAACAGATTGGGGAATTTGCTTTAAAGTTCTTAGAGGTCAAACAGATGATACGAATATTAATCCTGAAGATAAACTTTACAAAATATAAGCTATTCATCAACGGTATTGTTTAATATTTTGTAAATGAATTCCATCATTTAAAAGAGAAAATAAAACAATATGGCAAATATCCAATAAATATTGACAACTGACATTCCAGTTGTGGATGCATCATTTCGTGCAGTAATATTCATGGTGGTAAATGTTGAGAATGCATATGGTTGATTAATGAACACAACTGAACAATTCTTGCAATTAGCTCTATTACTATCCAACCAAGAAAGGAAAGTGACAGCATTATAAACGACAGCATGTACTTTCTTATCAAGGATTAATTTCCATTGAGTTTCTGGAGTTCCAAAGGAAATGTACTGAGCTGCTGGTAAATTAGTTTTGACATCGATTTCATAAGTAGTTCCTGCGTATGTGGCAACAATGACATTTGACTGATTGAGACTCTTGTAGGTCGATAATTCAAGTTGTGGATCAAGTTCTGTTCTAAGGAATGCTTTACTAGTTGTTCCCCAAGGACATTGAAAATGAACTGCTTTTCTTCTGGCATCATTTTGTTCAACATTGACACTAATCACGTCACCTGCCAAAATTCAAGTTCAACAAAGATCCAAATTACTTACAAATTCCAGAATTGACAGCATTCTTCATTGTGTCAAAGAATCCAAGAGCTGTGGTATTCACATATTTGACATAGGTCTGTAATTTACTTCCGTAATGATTGTTAATTTTCTTGACAAGTGTGTTGGCAACTAAAAGTCTGGCATCTTGGAATGGATAACCCAGACCACCTAGATCGATGCACATGACTAGTCCAGTACGGTCAGTGAATGGATTTTTGGTTGGCCAAGAAACTGGAGTATAGGTACACTGTCAGGTGTCAAATCGAATATTTAGTTTCAATATTTTGACATTTGTACTTACTTGTGGCACTTGGAAATACATCAGTTTGAAGAAGGCATCCATGAAGGTTGTATCTGTTATCATTTCTTGAGTGGCAGCGTCAATAGCATCAGAATAATCTTGAGTGACAGGTACAGCGTGTGTTTCGTATTCCTGCCCAATAGTTACTTGGCAGTTTAGCAATAAAACACTGCATAGAATAAGTAAAGATAGCAATATTGAATATTTCATTGTTATAATGTTGTTGTTTTTTATGATTTTTATTTCAATTGACAGCTTTTGAATTTTGACAGGCCAAGCTCTTAGTAGTGAATATTCTTAATGTTTCTTAAAAGAACTAAATACCGCTCTGCATTTCGTTATAAGAGTTCCTTAACTGTCGTTGCTAAAGTAATCAATTACCAAATTTGTATAATTATAAATGTCAGCAATCATTGATAAGAAAGTGAGCGGATCATTAAATTGTCTTTCTCGTTGTGATACGACCAGCTTGGTATGGTGTTGATATCTTTAAAAACGCAAGTACATTGTTATTTCGTCCACTTTCCAATAACATTATGCAAGTCAATGAACCAAACGAGTTGTAATTAATGCATTAAAGTGTTGATACTATGGCTATAAGGCAACATTTATATCATGATTGCAAATGATGTGAAAAAATAAACATTGACATTTGTGAAAATTTCGGACGAAAGTGGTTTACTAGCACAAAATGTTCAATGAAACATTTATAAACCTTCAGTTCCAAAAATATTGAATCATTTTCAAATTGTAAAGAAATTTGAAATTTATTCTTGTAAAATTTGTGTCTGCCTTCTCGATTAGTTGTTTGAATGGTTTCTTCCTCCTTCTTTGATGTTTCTCGACAAGTTAAAATACATGTATTCATTTAATCTTTTGCCTTTCATATAAACTCTATATCAATTTGATTCGCATATTCAATGCATCTATTGCTTCAATCATGTGAATTGGCGCCAAAATTGATGATGATGAAAACCTTAATCAAAAAAAAATACTCAAACAAGATCACACCATGCGATTTATTCTCTCTAGTTGTCAACAGCCGACGGAGAAGATGAATTTGTATTATTTAAAAAATTAGCAATAGTAGTAGTAGTGGATCTTGGACTGATGGTTTTGTGAAGAAAATAGTATCATGATTTCAATCCTAAGGGAAAAGAAGAACAGGAGAGACAATGGTCCGAAGTGTGCACCGATCCAAACATAACTTTCTTGTTCTCTCCTAAATTTCAAAAAACATTCCTCCTCGCTTGACAAAAGTCTTGGTTCTGCTTTTTCATTATATTTTAATGATTGCAATAATATTATTATTATTTAAACACCTGATTGCTTGGTGACCTTACGGAAAGGAATTTGGTGGGAATTCTAATAATCATTACTTTGGTTAAATAATGGTCATCATTTTCAATGTTGGCATTGATAGAGCTGTCAAATTATTAAAGTCAAATCAAAAAAAATGGCAGGAGATTTTCGGAAGGCGTTTTATGCTGCGGAAAAAGGCAAAATTGATGAATTTAATAATTATTTTAATGAACAAGACGTTAATAAATCACAGAGAGGTGTTACCATGTTATATATTGCTTGCCAAAATGGACATTTAGAAATTGTTAAATTATTATTATCATGTAAAACAATTGATGTTAATTTGAGTGTAAGTATTTTAATATTTAATTTAATTTTATATTTATAATATTAGACTGTAAGTATTTCAATGTTTAATATTTTTTATATTTAAAATATACATTAGACTGTAAGTATTTGATATTTAATATTATTTTATATTTTTAATATTAGTATGTAAGTATTTTAATATTTAATATTTTTTATATTTTTAATATTAGTATGTAAGTATTTAATATTTAATATTATTTTATATTTATAATATTAGACCGTAAGTAATTAATATTTAATTTGATATTATTTATGTTTATAATATTAGTTTGTAAGTATTTAATTTTATTTATATTAATAATATTAGATGGTAAGTATTTTAATATTTAATATTATTTTATTTTTAATATTAGACACCATTATACATTGCGTGCCACTATGGACATTTAGAAATTGTTAAAGAATTACTTCAACATCCAAATATTGAAATAGATAGCGAATTGTCAGTGAATGGAATTAATATTCAAACAATTAAAAGTGACATGGAAAAGGAACAACAAATATTACAAGAACAAATAGAACAAAAAAAGTTGAAACAACTAGAAATGGAAAGATTAGAAAGAAAAAGAATTACAAAATTAGAAATGGAAAGAATTGAAAAAGAACGTTTATTAAAAATAGAAAGAGAAAGAAAAGAATTTGAGAAAAAGCAACCATTCATAATCACATCTGAAACACTTTCAAAATTATGTTCACTCAACCAACAAGTAGATAATAATAGAAGAAAAGTTGAAAAACAATTTGAATCAATTCAATCATTTTCTTCTTCTATTCAAATTGAGAAAGAATTTCAAGATGAATATTTAAGAATTTGTGATAATTTAAATAATTGTTGTAATTTAATTGAAAAATTAACAAGTAATAATTATAATATTGAAAATAATGAACATTTGTCAACTATTAATAATTTAATGAATAATATTAGAACTATATTGGAATTTATTAATAATCAAAAATATTTATTTAAATTACAATCTTATTCAGAAGTATTAAATGAAAAATTAGAATTATTTAATGAATTTAATTCTCAATTTATTAAACAAGAATTATTTGACAATATTGAAATGAGTGAACAATCTATTAAGAATATAAAAAGTATTAATATTGTTCCAACTCATAATAAATTTGGAAATGAAACTAAAACAATATTACAACAAGTTACAAAACAATTATCAAATATTGTAAACTCTATCAATAATTGTAATGAAATTGATTTGACACAATTTTCAAATAATTTACAAAAAGCAATGGAATTATCAGAACAAGAAGAATTATATTTAAATAATATATTGTCAAATTGTAAAATATTAATTTCAGACAATGATCAAATGAATATTTTACAATTATATAATTATTATCAAAAACAAGAATTAAATTGTAAATTATTAATTCAAGAAACAATTCCATATATAATTGAAAAATATGAAATGTTACAAAATATTATAAATATTATGAATAATTATTCAAATTTATCTGAACAATTTAAAACTATTCAAAGACAAAAAACAAGAATTNAAGAAATTTAATTGTGA